AACGGAGGAAGTAACATTTTTCCCAAAGTATGATCATATGTTTGATTATCTTCCTTCAGACTAAATATAATGACATTTCCACCCCTAATTTAATTAATTAATATAATTAATTGCCCCTAATTCCCTTTCATAACCAAAGTCATTTTGTTGGTGGCAGATCAGTCCGATGACGACGGCGGGGAACTTCGGTGACGGAGGCAAACAAGCAGATCGGTAGCGGCGATCTAGGTGAAAATTCCGATGACCGGCAGTTGCGGCGGGATTTAAAAGTCTATGTACTTTTTGAAAGTATATAAACTTATAGAATTCAATAAAAAGTCTATGGATTTAAGAGTTAGTTGATTTTTATAAAAATCCATGGATCAAAAAATGTCCACAACCATCCATATTCATAAAAATTGAAGAGTTCCACTTTTAACTTTTTAGGCTCATAATCCCCTTACACTACAAATGGCCTAATACGTACTCCTTAGTATTTTATTACCTTTCTCCCAAACAAGTAGCAACCCAAGTACTCCCACTTCTCAAACAACTGGTAGCACAAATACTTCCAAACAAATGGAACCCAAACACTCCCAAACAAGCTAATGTTAACACAAATTATTTAAAACATTATCCTAGATAGAATTAAATATAGAAAAAGTACTAAAATATGAGCTAAAATCTTTTCAAATTCCCTTTCATAACCTCATTAATCTAGATGGTATATGAAAGGGAAGAAAATCTAAATAACCCAAACATTTAGATATACTCCTTAATCCAAATAATGATGAATGAAGCTCTTCTTGGTAATTATGATTAGGACTAGGGCAACAAATCTACAAATTGATCGAGTGACGATGATTTGAGGAGTGTCTTCTTCACGATTATGATGCATAACATGTAGAGGTTTATATGGTCAATAAAAGTTGCAATATAAGTCATCCTCCAATCCAAATGAATAAACATATAAATTTTCAAGATAGAAATATATCTAGTTGGGTTTAACTTGCAAATACACAGATATGGTTGTTGTTTTTATAAAATTTAGGATTTGAGGAATTAAGTAGAGAGATGTATGTAAAGTGACCAAGACATCAAGGTTCACTTAAACGTTCATTAAAATTCAATATAAGTTCTTTATCAAGTCTTAAGAGTACGATATGTCAATATTACTATTATGTTCACGACTCCGGTTAATGCGGTTAGTGTAGTTTTCGCTACATGTGAGTCACGTTATGACTCACATTCTTTAGAGAAAACTTCATTGAATACTAGCATATCACCGCGTATCATACAAGATAGGGTGTATTTCTATCTTTAATACTTTAAATATTTATTCTTCTAGAGAATGATCTGTATATTATATTGCTACTTTTGTTGACCATATAAACCTCTAGATCAGTACCATATAATTAAACCTCTAGATCATTCTTTAGTATGATCTGTTTATTCTTCGGTGTTTGTACTTTAATTGATGGAGTATTATACAACATAGTTGTGTAAATTTAGCCTCAAGGGTGTGAAAAACATGTTCAACAGACTCCATAATCCACTAGATATATGGTGACAAACTAGTCCGGTAAAATGTGACTTAAATTACAAACACCGAAGTCCGAAGCTTCCTTCGCAATCCGTCATATTTTTAGGTAGATTCTATGGTATTCATAAGATATCATACTTTTGTCCACATGGACCAATGAGAATGTAGGAGTTGAATTATTTAAATCTAAATTAAAAATGATAAAGTGATGTGGTCCAATCAAATGAATGATAGGTACGGTACCCCATATTTTATAAATGTACCCTAGTTGTCACCTTTTTTTAATCGCAACATGTTGAATTTTACACTATTCACATGTTCTGTTATGACTACATTTTACGCTATTATTTTATGAGAATTGTTTTTTTTTTAAATGTTGTTCAATTCACATCTCATTACAAATTTTCAAAATCTGATTTTTAATTTTTTTTCTAATAAAGATTAAGAGATAATTACGGTCAAAGACGTGCGTTGGCAAGTGTGAAATGTTGACCGTTGCAATTTATGTTAACCCGAATTTGTTTTGTCGTATCATACATCCATTCCATTATTAACAACTGTTTTGTACGTGAGATAAAAACCTGACAGTAGTACGGTAAAAAGTCGCTCGTGTTAAGAAAAGTAAGGTAGAAAGTTGCAATTTGATCGCATATATACATGTATTTCCGAATGCACATATGCTCATCATCACCTTCAGTATATATACTTTCACAAGCAACAAAATTGACAAATTCAGGTGAAGAATGAAAGAAAGAGTTAAAATGAAATAAGAGAAAATAGTATCATCAGAAGTATATATGGAAAAAGAGCCTAATTAATTAAGTATATAAAGCATGCAGGGATCAAACCTGACTAAGACCACTACTACATCTGTTTCCTGAGGTTGTTTTATTTTTGTGTTCTCCAAACGTGGTGCAACTCTTGGTGACAGTGTGCCCCCTAATAATTTTGGCCCGGACATGCGGAGGTATTCTTAAAGTAAACCTGTCCTCCGGATCTTCCCTAATCTTAACAATCGAATGCCCTGTGGAATGGGACCTTGGGAACTTCTCTTCCTCCTCCCTAATTACACTACTCCTATTACTATTATTGTTACTATCGTTGTTGTTGTTGTTGTTACAATGATAATGATTGTTGTTTTTAGTATTTAATGTGGTTACAACATATTTGTGTAGGGAAGTATTTCCTTGCTGATGATTATTATGATTACTTATATGGTCAACACTTGCTCCTCCTTCCCCTCTATTATTTGTGAGGTCGTCATTGGTATTATCGATGACGACCTCATCATCATGTACTATTGTGATGCTATGATGATGCGTGTCGTCACGCACTTGCTCATCGTCATCATCACGATCAAATTCTTCTTGAAAGTTTTCATCATCATCGACACTGCTGCCTCCTCCCGGCACCGAGGAATAAGGAGAGGTAGAAGGCGGGGGCGGCAGAGAGTCGAGGGCCTGGCGGCAGACTGGGCAAGTCTTGTGAGATTCCATCCAAAGATCAATGCACTCCTGGTGAAACACGTGGCTGCAGGAGGTCAGCAGGCGCAGAAGACTCTCGTCCTCAAACTCAACAAGGCAGATGGCGCACTCCAGCCCATACTTCTCTTTGCGGTAGTCCTTGACGCTCGAGTAGGTGAAAGTGGGGAATGAGTCGATGATCTTGGGGTCGATCCCGGGGGGCATGTCGGCGGCGGGGTTACCGTCCGGGCCGAGGGGGGCTCCGGCCTGAGTGATGCGGCGGTTGTGCCACAAGCTCTGTATGCAGTACTTGCAAAAGATGACGAAGAAGATGCCCAAGAAGAAGAAGACGAGGAGGAAGGCTATGAGGAGAAGCGTAACCGGCGGGGGAGAAACATATTGCGCGGGTGGCGGTGCGGCCCTCATAGGCATTGGCCTGCGGGCCCGATCGCTCTACCTAGCGGATGGGTGGATATGTATCCTTGGATTGAATTAGCCGGAGAGGAGAATGTATCCAGCGCTGCTAGCTAGCAGTATATAGGCCTGGATCGATCTGTCGCTACATGTTATGAAAATCAAATCAAATGAATGAATGAATGAAAATTAGCTAGCGAGCTAGCTTGTTATCGCATGCAGTATTTCTTAATTAAATTAAGAAACTTTATTTATTTATTTATTATATTTATGATGAGTGGAAGTGTTTGATGCAAACTGAGAGAGGTGTGAAGCATAAAAGATGGATAGAGCAGAGAGTGGTTGAGTCAGTTCCGTGGTATGTGGTGAAGAGAAAAACATGGCCTTAATCGCCTCAACATCTATGGTTGCCTCATTCCGGACACTCCATTTAACACAACACATATATATGGTGTACTTACATGCACATCTTAAATAATGTCTCTTGCCCCTCTTCGGCAAACTACATTTTCATATTTTACAAACAAAAAGAATATTTTTATTTCACTTTTATATACTACATATGCATCTATTTCATATAGTTAAAGTTTATCATATTGAAAAAAGTAAAGATGAGGGACTAAAAAGGACCATTAAAATGCCTATTTGAATTTGATTTTACACCCTATTTTTTTAATTAACTTTACACCTGTTTTTTGAGTGATATTTGACTTTACATCATATTTTAAAAATTACCCGTATTAATGTATGGACTTAATTTCACTATAAAATTATTCGACTTTACACCACACACATTTATAATATTTGGATCGATGGATGCAAATATTAATGATTTTTAAAAAGTGCAAAAACCAATATCCAAAAGTTGAACGCAAAGTCAAATTTCACATTTCATTGCAATCACAACTTATAAAAAAAAAAAAAAGATGACACCTCATCCCTGAGGGCCCCCCAACACCGACCGAACGGCACGATGGGAGGATATAAATTGGACTATAATCACAATTGACAGATAGAGAGTGAGACTCCGTCTCCGGTACTTGCAATCACAACTTATGAGTTTAGGGTTAGTAACTACGTTACGTTTAAAAACAGGACCAGACCGGACAATGAACCGTTTGGAGCACTAGGTCGCGGATCAACTGGTTCAACCGCGGGTCAGATGGGTCGTTCCTTTACTGCAAATAAATATGCACCAATATGTTTTACGGGTATTGACCTTTTCCGGTTCTGACTTGCACCTGATTGGTGATTTACCCGGGTCGGCGGTTTCCGGGTCAACCGGGCCGGGCCAGTTTCTTAAACACAGGTTAGTAGCAGGAAAGAAGTACAATAATACTCCCTCCGTCCCCCAATTAAGTTCTGTGTTTGACTTCACAGGTTTTAAGAAAATAAATTTGACTTTACTGTAGAGTGCACTGTTTGGCACTGTTTAAACACTGTTTGACAATGTTTTGCACTGTTTTGATGTAGATTATTTATCAAATAAGAAAAGTATTAAAGTGTGAACTTAATTTAGGAACTGACTAAAAAGGAAAGTGAGAACTTAATTGGTGGAGAAGAAACACGTCATTCCCTTACCTATCCCAATCCTCAAAATTGAACGCGCAGGATTATGTGAAGGTTTTCCCTCCCTCACACACGCAAAGAAGAGGACTGTGAAGAAGCACTTGACAGCAATGGCAGCAATTCTACCGCCATTTCCGTCGCGTTCTGTCTCCCCAAGGCTTCCGGTTCCAGGTCAACAAGCTTCCCTTGTAAGTCATCTCATTCGAAGCTCCACAGTTTCCCAGAAACACATCTCCTTCAAAGTTCAAGCTGCAAAGCTTTCTGCCGGGGTATCTATCTCTCACGCCTCTCCTCTTTTCCCCCAAATATTGAATTCATAATATAAAAGGCTGTCTAATGTGCACACAATTCTTCAAGGTGGATTACCCAAAGGAACAGCCAAAACTTAAGCCCCCATTTCTGGGTTTTACAAGAACTGCTGAAATATACAACTCCAGAGCTTGTATGATTGGACTGATTGGAACATTCATTTTAGAACTGGTCAGTTACCGATTCCTTATGCAATGTTTGGATCTGAGAAAGTTGTAGAAAAGGCAAACAATATGCCAAGGAAAATTATTTTCTTATACTATTTGTTTTCACCTTGAAAACAATGACTAGGTAAAATCAAATAATATTAGTGATCTTTTAAATTCACTGCCTAAATTAAGATTACCTCATATTTATATACAGAAACTAAAAATGTCCGAGGGAAGTAAAACATTGGTTCAAATCAGTTATTAGCTTAAAATATCCCCAATTATGGTTAAATTTCACAAATCTATCATATTATTTTGGGAAAACTGTCAAATAGGTCATCGAACTTTCATAAAAAAGTCAATTAAGTCCTTCTATAGGAGACTCTGTCCGGTCATCGCGATTTGGGGCGGTTCCCGGTGGAATTTTTTGATGAAAATTTTTAAGCATCTTATTCATCAAGTCTAGTTTACTCATACCAAATTTCAACTAAAAATTTAATCGGGAGCGCATTCAAATTAATTCGAGAACGCAAAAATGCGCAGTTATCTTCAAGAATTAATTTGAATGTGTTCCCGATTGAATTTTTAACTGAAATTTGGTATGAGTAAACTAGACTTGGTGAATAATATGCTAAAAAAAAATCATCAAAAATTTCCACCGGGAACTGCCCCAAATCGCGACGGCCGGACAGAACCTCCTATAGAAGGACTTAATTGACCTTTTTATGAAAGTTCGAAGACCTATTTGACAGTTTTCCCTATTATTTTTAATGAAAAAAGAATTAAAGGTCATCATTTTCAGAAATATACTTTCTATAAATTGATTACTACTAGTAATATCTAAGGATTAATTCCCATATTTAGTCCATATATATTTTACTATTCCTTTCTTGTATAATTAATTTTACAAATATTTTTTTGCGGGTGGGAAACTAGAAATACTACAATAAACTTGCAAAAGCATCCGAGATTCAATTAAACGATAAAGAATCGCACACAACCCAACTGCTAAAAAAGAACTCCAAGTACACACAACCAAAGATCAATGTAAATTTTGGGCATTGGTTTTAAGGATGTTTTCTTTTGGACTGAAATTTGATGGTCTGATCTGGTCTGAATTGGATTGGTCTCTGTGTATTTTATAACTACGGAAGTCAAGTCTGGTCTAGTCTGATCTGGTCTGGGACAGAAAACAGTGCAAAAGAAAACATCCTAATACTTCTGTTGCATTGTCTTTTATTTCAGATATTGAATAAGGGAATACTTCAGGCTATTGGGGTTGATGTTGGGAAAGGCCTTGATCTTCCATTATGAGAACGTATTGGTGTGTTTCCATTGAAGCTCCCTTGTAAAAGCACACTGTTTTTATTGGTTCCATTCAAAAATGTTTAAATCTGAAAACAGTACTACTACTACTACTGTCATCTGACCTTTCTTCTTTCCTTCCATTTTGTTCAAATCTATTAAATATCCTGACACAGACACATAGCCACATACAAGGTTCTCACTAGAAATGAGAGGGTTGAAGAGCTGAGGGAGACGCACAAACTTGCAGGAGCAGGAAAGAAGACTATATGATCCTGCATATTCTGGTATCTATAATAGTTACTTTGGAAGAAGAGTTAGATGATGGTTGTTCGAGTGCCTGGGCTAAGGATAGTGTGGGGTTGCTCCAAGCAGATTCAGCCCAAAGCTTCATCCTCTCCCCTTCACCTTTTCTGTTCTGTTGCAGACACAATATTTCTGCATAACCACCTACGCAAAAGCAATCAAATGAGAAGGGAAAATCGTGAAACTGACTTGTGGACTTACTTGGGGTAATATAACCAAAGGGCAAATTCGTATGGAACCACTGTGTAAACAGTGTGATCCTCATAGAAAACTCCTTAATCCATTAACCCAAGCTCCTGCTTAAAACTCTGCGTGATATCTAAATGGATCCAGACAATCTATTCATCATACTTCTTTTAGTTTTCCAATGCATTTGATACAGGTTTATGAACATAACATGCACACAATCTGTATCATGATTTTAGTTGCAAGGTGCACATGACCAAAGGCATTTAAGTTTATCTTACACAATGGTTATTCATGTTAAGCATGTAGAGTAGTGGGTACCTCTCACTAGGGCAATTAAATCTCTCCTACAAGCTTGCTCTTGTGCACCTGTACATATCACATAATTCAAGATTCGATTACTGGCGGATCTTTTGTCAAGTGTGGAAACACTATAGCAAAACACTATTGTATAATTAAATAAAAATTGGAAAGTAACACATTTAAACACTCTGCAGCTCCTTTTTATGGAGAAAAAATGACAGAAGAGCGGTGTTTTCCTGCTGCCTTCCCAAAATACGGGAGTTGATATTATGGTATTCATTTACGGGAAACGGAATTAGACCATCCGAATATTTGTAGGTTGGGATCTGAGGCATAATTCTTCAAAGGATCCAAATCTTTTCTTTTACAAAAGCTGAAATTTCAGCGTTGCGATATTTAACATCTTAATGAATAAAATATTCTTCAATTTTTCACCACCCAAACAACCCAATCTTTAAATATTTCCACTATATTTTTAAAATCATGTCTTAATTCTACCTTCAACCAAAGCAAAATTTGAAATTAAAACAAAAGCCTTTACACAAATTTCTAAAAATAATTAAATTGAAATAAATAGTTATTAAAAAAGAACTTGAACAGAAATTTAATGAATATACAAAGAATAACCAATAAAAAGTGTTAAACAACAAAAGTGAACACCGATATTTGTGCAGTGCATTTGGATATTCCCTCGCCCACTAGCATACTTGTGTGTTCCTACTTTTCACCATTTATATATTTCAGATTGTAGGAATCCAAAATCTTCAAAAAAATGTTTTTGGGGCTGTCCGAATATCTTGTCCACAATCCTAACCCTAGGTTTTTCAGATGGTGCAGCTCCGATTTTCGCTATTCTGGAAAACCTAAACACCCTCCCATTACTTTGGCATGCAACCTCAGCACTCCCGCACTTGTACAAAACAGTCCCTCTTTAAGTGTGCCAGTGTGTGTTTGTGTGTGTGAGAAAGAGCACATGTGAAGGCAATGATTCTTTGTACTTTCCTTCAGACAATCATACCTTTGAAATCCAGTGGAGGAGCTTTAAACAATTCAATTGCCCTTCTGTAGAGTCCCTAAACAACACATAAAGCAAACCAAATACGGAGCCAAAGAAAAACAGGTTCAATTTAACAGCATCAAACCGTTAAATTCAATAGGATAAATTCCAAGTGACATTATTTGAATGATTATAGCTCTAAAAAAGCCTCATCCGGAGTACTTAAGCAAATTACTCTACCAATTTTCTCAGGAGCTTGTACTTGGGGTGTGAATTATTTGTCTTACAGTGAATATAATGCTTTAGAAGATTATACAGCTGACTGATGAAGTAGCAAAAGATTTATCGGACATGATTAGACTGCACCAGGAATCTCCACGTAGCTCATCGTGCCATTGTGGCATGATAATTTTACTATCCTTTTTGCGAGTCATAGATGACATGAGAGTCAACGAGAGATATGATGTTGTTTGTGGATCATATCCTGTTAATCGCGACTAATATAAGGAAGAATTGAATGCTATGTGAAAAATATAAAGACAATGTGCGCAATTTGAATCAATTTTTTAGATAAAGAGAAAAGAGAGAGAAATTTGATTGAAAGGAGCTATAAGTAAGCGCCTATTTCATATATCTGGAATCTATTATACAGATAGATGAAGATATAAAAGTGCGGGTTGGCTAAAATAGAAAGGAACAATAAGAATACTATGTGATTGTAAATTTTTAATGTACCCTCAAGTTTATAGGGGAAATTTTATTAGAGTTGCTAGATTCCCTGGATAAAAATGTTGGGTAATAAATATTCAAGAGACATGTTGGTTTGGACATCGTCAAGAAGTAAATTTTCCGGTACAGAGTAGTCTTAGAATGTTGAAGACTAGAAGAGAAGTTGTGGTAGGCCAAAAGTGACATGATGGAAGGCGTAAAAGGGTAGAACATGCGAATTTTTACTTTGGCTAATGACCTTGAGAAAATTTATATTGCTCTGTGGAGTTGACCCTGTTGGTTTAAGATTAAGGATGTTTTTACTTGGACTGTAATCTGTCCCAGACCAGACCAGAACAGACTTGGATAGTTGAAAAAAATACAAAGAAACCAGACCAAAAACATCCTAAGGCTTGATTGTTGACATTTTTTATAATGAAGTTGCATAAGAAGTATGAGCAAGAAATTTAAAGGCAACCACTGGAAATGATTTGCAGAGTTACAAACCTCTTGAATTAATAGAGAGCTAGATCGTTCAACTGTTGCTTTGTGTCGATACATAAGAGCTATGCAGGTTAAAATAGCACCAATTTTGGGATGTTGATCACCTGTGAGGCCAAATAAAAGTAAATCAGAATAGCTAAATAAAATCACTGTGAAAAGCAAAAGTTAAAAGGAGAGGAGATGATCACACCAAGAGTTTGTTCTGCTTTCTTTAGTGCTGCAGTTAACATCTTCTCAGCATTTTCAAAGTTCCTAAAGTTTGATTACTAACCCAAGATTAGAGCGATATTAAATTTCACTCAAGAGCTGCAAATTATAAGCTTACCCCAACTGAGCCTCTAGCTGTCCTAAAGCACATGTAGCTCCCACTACGGTGTCCTCAAAGTTCATATTACAAGCTGATAACTGATGCAAATTACTAGATTCCTTTCCCATAAATTCCTCACTAATCACTTTTGTGTACATGTGCTTTGCCATTTCAAAATCCGACTTGTGGTGAAGGAATTCACCATAAGAAAGTGCAGCATTGCCAGTGCATTGACCACCCATTACAAAAGAGGAACAGTCCCCATATCGACCTTCCGGGAAGCAAGGCATTGCTGAAACGGAATCCATGTCAAATGAAATTTGGAATGTATGGATCCAATAATGCATGGAAAGGAAAAAATACGCCAAAGGGATGTAATTTTTATATATTTGGTTTTACCATGGAAAATACAAAAAGAAAATGAAATGTGATTCATTTCCTGCTATGTTTCCTTTCATATCATTTTCCCTGGTACTTCCCGGATCTGAATGGACTGTGAGAGAAATGAGAAACACTCGAGAAAATAAAGAGGCTAGGGGAACAATATTTCATTAACCTGATTCGGTATTCCCACGGATCAACTCAACAAGCCCTTTTAATGCTTTAGATTGATCTACCAAGGCCTCAATGCCTTCAGTGCCGATGTCTAACTTAATGGTTTCCAAGAGTTGCAAACACATATCTGCAGTTGCTGCTGCTGCATCATCCTGCAACATGAAAAGAAATACTAAAAATCATAACGCAACTTTTTACTCAACCTAAACCAACCATGTCCAAATGAAAGTGAGTAGTTTCACAAGGGGTTTACTTGGCCCAGTTCTAAATGAAGTCCAACAAGTGCCTCTGAGGCCGCAACTACAATAATGTCCACAAACTATCAACAGCAGAGTTGTAGACAAGACTAGTATATAACTACAAAATGGACTACGAAGTCCTTAAGTTAACCATACAAAAATAGTAATGATTACCTCTGATAATCATCGAAGACAAGCTTAAATTTTGGATTTTCTGAAGTTTCTCAATTGCTTCTTCATAATTCCCACTGATTTCCCATTAGAAAAGAAGAGGAAACGAGGCATGAAAATGAAGATTTAGTGAAAATTCCATGAAGGAAACGTGAGAATTAACTGAGACGTTTCGTTCACAAATCAGTGTGGAGTGTGGACCTATGATACAATAATGAAGACATCGCTAGTACAACCATTCCTTTAACATTTTCATCAGAGTGAGTAGAGTAGCACTGCTCCAAAACCAACTGAGCTTGAGCATAAGCATTACCTTTAATTAAATGGCAAAAAAACTTCAAAATACCATTTTTTTTATTTTACATTAAAAACTCATTTAAAGAAAAAACAAAAAGGTGTGGCGGGGTAAATGACCTGACTTCTCAGAACGGGCTAGAGAGAGCGCGTAATTCGTCATCTCAAGGGCGACTGGGTTGATCTTGAAAGAGCTATCTGAGTGGACTTTATTCGAGAAAGCTCTATGAGGTGGTGACGCCGCTGCAGCTGGAAGGCGGAGTAAAGCTAGTAGTGTAGATCCACGGCATTTTGCTCTGAAGAGCTTATCCCCGATCCTAATCATCTAGCTGCTGGACTGGTAGTTACTCCCTCCTCCTTGTGGCTTCAACTTTAAGCACAGCGGTGGAGACGGAAGAT